GGGGGGGGGGGGGCGATGAGCGAGAGGCGGAGGGAGGAAGGAGAGGGACGAAAGGTCTGTAAAGGGGGAAGCCTGCACGACTCGGGCCAAAAACCTGGCTTGAAGAGAACTCAGCTTCTGCCTGCTTTCCCTGGGTTCCGCAGCCACCAAACTGAACCCCTTGACCCTTACCCTTTACCCTAACGACTCCTCGCCTGGCCAAAGGAATAAATCCTTGTATGTGTTTACATCCCAGGCTATCCCCGGGACTGAAGGGCTGAGAAGCCTGGGTCCACAGTGGAACTCGGATGACCTTACATTAACTCTGAAGAGGAGAGCAGCTTGCGGTGGAGCTGAAGCTGCCGGCAGGTTTGCTTTCAGTCTTAGGGTGCTTCTTAGCAGCTCCAACCCTGAATCTGTGGTGGGGACTTCAGAAACATTGCCTCAACCTAGAGGGTATTAGGGGAGGTGCCCAGCAGTTCCTGGAGGGTGCAGGGCTTTGTAAACGGAATGTGAAATGAATAGCAGGAATTTGGAAAAAATCTTTATGTGCAGATATATTAATATTATTTATTAATATTTATTAATACTAAGGAAGCCAGAGGGTGATTTGGACTAGAAGGAAGCCCTGCAGGATTAATGTCTTCCTCCTCCTCCTCCCCGCCCCCTCCTTTGTCCTAGGCCCAGAGGTTCCATCTAGAAGCTATGGGGTGTCTTCTCTCCTTTGGAAGGACTTTAGAGATGGCAGTTGAGACTTACCAGGTATGTCTCCCTCACCTGGTTTGAAGAATGTGTGTGAGTATTGTGGAGGAGAGCAAGCCACTCAGGCTGCAATGGCTTTGCTGTTGTCTGAGGCCTGGTGTTCTATGACCCCTCTTGCTTGTCCTCACCAACCTCAAAATCTATTGCCAGCAGTGTGGACATACGGCTTGCCATTTTACTTTGCTTTGGGAACCTCTTCACTGGCTGTTTTCCTTGACCACTCCCACCCTGCCACGCACCCCTCACACACATCTTAAAAAGTGTTTGGCCGAAGTTGCTCCAAGGGAAAGTGAAGATTTGGAAATGATTTCTTTAAGCTAATCAAAATATGAATTCAAAATGCATTATTAAAGGGGGAAATTGCCTCTATTGGGTCTGATGATGCAGGCCCTACCAATTCTGCATTGATTTAAGTTGGCTGTCTTCGCTGATTTTAATTAATCTGGTAATTACTAAATCTCCATGTCTCTTAAGGCTTTCGGGGCCTTAGGGCTACTTTGCTCCTTGGTTTGAGGCTGAAACGGATTCTGGACACCTCCGTTCCCACTCGTCTGTGTCTCACCATTTGGCTGCATCATTTATCTGACGAAATGAAGGTTGGGGCAAGATGGTTATTTCCTGGCTGAAGCTCTAGCTTTTCTGAGCCCTTTCCTGTTGGGGGCCACACTTCCTGCCCTACAGGAGATGATGGGAAACCAAGGAGCAGGGTGAGGAGAGCTGTGGGAAACCTTGTAAAGAATGTAGATATTAATGATTATTTTATTTGAGGCTAGAACCACAACATCATCATAATAATACCTTACCTTTGTACAACATCAGAGTTTACAAAGTCCTTTCACTTGTGTTTCTCACTACAACTCTTGATTTTGTAATTGAAGAAACTGAGTCCATGAGTGGCTGTGAGTGACTTGCTCAAGGTCACGTGGCTTCAGTTCCTGAGCCGGGTCTCAACTCCAGTAGTCCTGTCTCCACATCCAGAGCTCTTTCTAATATGGTATAGTGCCTCCATTTCATGCCAAAAATTCCTTTTTCAGGCAGATTTTTTTCTAATTGTTTCTCCCATCAATAACAGCTGGACTCAGAGAGGCATCTTGGTATAACGGAAAGCGGATTATTTGGAGAGTTCTAAGAACCAGAATCCTAGTCTTGTTGTGTCCATAGCTAGCAGTGGGACCTCAGACAAGCCCTAACATTTAAGCAGTGCCAGCCTGAGGCCAGGTACTGTGTTTTGGGTCTTCCTCCAGCTCTAAACTATGGAAATCAATGTATCTGTCCTACCTCCCTCAGAGGGACACCCCTGAGCATCAAATGAGATAGTGGATGAGAAAGAATTTTGTGCACTGTAAACTACTAGACTTATGCAAGTTATTATTATCAGCATTGGTATCACCAGCCTCCCTAGATGTAGCACAGAGACCTAGGGGTGACACTGGCCTGGGCCCTGCCCTCCTGAAGTTTAGCAGACAAAACAGGGTATGGAGGGGCAGGGTAATTTAGGCCCCAAACCAACCTCTGGCTAAATTCGCAGGGTAATTGCTTCAATTCTTTGCTTTGTTCTGCAATCACAGGCCTTGTCTCTCCAGTAAAACAGCCGAGCCCTATGACAACAACGAAATCCCAGTGGTTTACATCTTTAGAGTGTCGGAATGAAGCAGCTTTGGGTTGTCCCTTCATCCCCTGCACCCCAGCTAGTTGAAGGTGAAGTCAGGTTTGGAGCTCAGGGCCTCAGGACTGCCAGAGGGCTCATTCTAAATCACCCCAGTTGAAAGCGGACCAGGGGAGATCAGGGTACAAAAAGAGCTTTGCAAACGTAGGAAAAGAGTGGGGCTGGTACTGGATCAGTAAGATTGACCACGAGTTACAGACACTATGTGCTCACAAGTGTTTCGCTTTATGCTCTGGGAGGGGCCACAGGGGAAAATTCATTGCCCCTACTCGCGTAAATCTCAAATGCACAAACTCTATTGCAGCAGGTTGCTTCTTGGAGATGCATTCCAGCGGCTCTCTGCAGCTGAGGAAGGCCTGGTCTCTGCCCTCTCAGAGCCCCAGGTCTAGATGGGGAGACAGTATGTCTGGTTAAACTTAACTCTGTAAACAACCAACAACCTTTCTGGATTTTATAGCCAAAGGGGGGTGGAAATGAGGAAGGGGGCTAAAATCATCCCAGAGGCCTCTCCAAGTCAAGCCTCCCCCCTTCCCTAAGACTTCTCAGCACTTAACAAGGTTCTTAATCAAACACACAATGTGAGAGGTGGAAGGAACTCTAAGAAATCATCTGCCCTCCTGTAAAACTGGCTGTGGATGCCCACTGCCAACGCAATCAAGTCCACAAGCCTTCACGTAGCTTTCAGGGCCCTCCATGATCTGGTACCAGCCACCTTTCCTTCCATGTCCCTCACAAAGCCTCTGTTCTCACCAAATCCGCCCTCTTGCCATTCCCTGGACAAGATGAGCACTTTCTTGACTGTTCCCTCTACTTTTTCTATGTCCTTCTCGGCTTATTGAAATCCCACTCAACCGTTACTCAAGCCGGCTCTTTCCTGCCATCATCCCTGACCCCTACACCCTCCTTAGTGGTACCACCACAGTACTGAGCTTGCCCCTTTATTTAGCTCTTCTATGCTCTTCCTATCTATCTCTCCAACCAGATTTTCCCTTCCTTGGATGAAGGAACCCAGTATTTCTCATCTGTGTATCACAGCCTCCTTCCACTCCTCCGAACATCCCCCACCCTGGCACAGCAGAGGCCCTCTACAAATGTTTGTTAAGTGAATGAATGAATGGATGATCTAATCCAACCTCCTTATTTTATAGTGGGGAAACTGAGAACCAGAACTAGCTTCCCTTCTTGCCAGTTATTAAAGACTCAGCTTTCAATCTTGATCCCTTTTAGTCTTTGTCTTCCCATTTACTAGTTTCACACACAGTTTCTGAAGTTAAGACAGACATGGTTTGAATCCTGGCTCTGCCCCTTCCTAGCAATATTACTTGGACACTTGACTTCTCTCTGAGCTTCAGTTTCCTCATTTATAAAATGGAGCCTAATAAATACCTCCTGAAAATGTTCCCAGGATCAAATAAGTTCTTGTATGTTAAGCACTCAGAACAGTGCCTGGCCCCTAGTGGACACCCCATAGTAGTTTGTTTTTTTTTTTAACATGAGGCATTTTTAAAGAGTTCAGAACTTGGGAGCACATGCTTAATTCGAGCCTGGGAATAAAAGCCACATCCTGAACATAAAGGAAAAGAGAGGTGTATTTTTGAAGAGGAGAATGGAATAAAATTTTGCAAGATCTTTCAGCAAGCCAAACTATTACCTCTTCCTCTAAAGAGGCTAAAGAAGATTGAGAATAGCACTCAGTCCAGTGGCCCACATTCAGTGCATACTCACCAAATTCCAGTTCCTGGGGTTGTGCAGTCCTCTGGCTGTGGTGGTGATTCTGTGCAGGCTTAGGGATGCTGGCACAGAATGGAGGTGCCGAATCCTTCAAGCGCCACCTCCACAAAGCGTTCTCTGAATGTTTTTGCCTCTGAACTCTTGGCCCCATAGGTAAGTACTGCTTAGCACTTAGTCCCTTTCTGTGCTCTGTGCCTTAGTTCTACCTCCCCATCTGAGGGCGGGCACCTTGTTATAGAAGGTGCATCCGCCACCATACCTGGCAGCGTTTCAGGAGAAAGCACGCCATGAATACTCTGAGATTGTTTGACAGTAGATGTTCAGTGGAGGACATGGGCCTCTTCAGGTCCCACCCACCCTATGGTCTCCCAACCCCTGTCCCCACACCACACTTCTCAAATCAACCACTCCCAGGACGCCCCAGCCTTTTCAGTAGCCATCTTTTCTCTTAGAATTTGTAAGTATCCAGAGGGCAAGGGCCATGTTTTACTGTGTCCTCCACACAGCCCACCATAGCACTTCCGACATGAACAGACTAAAGCACATGGTTTGGCTGCTATAGATAACTTGGTAAAGATACCATACTTATTTCGGGCCTGTGTTTATATGTATTCTCGTGTGTCTGTTCTTGCTCATTAAGCTTCAAGGGGCTCCAGAGGAAGAATTGTCCATTTTGGGAAGAAAGTCACAAGATGATTAAAAAAACAAGTTGAGACCTGAGATTTAGATTTTTTAAAAATCCAGGAAGCCATGTTCTGCCTTCAGTACATACTCAGTTTAAATGTCCACACTAAAATTTCTCAAATTTAATCTACACAAGAATCACTTGGGGGTAGGGTGGAGGAGAAGCTTGTCAAAGTTCAGATTCCAAGGCACCCTCCCACCCAGGGTCTTACTGAATAGGTCTGGGGTGGTGCCTCATACTCTGAACTTCTAACAATCGCTACCAGGAAATCAATCGGAACCAGAGGATTCTTGCACAACACTTTGAAAGACGTTAAGCACTTTTTCTATTTCCATCTTCACCAGGGGTTCCCAAAATTTCACTACCAAAGGCTTTATTATTTCTTTCCCCTCAGGGACCCCATTTTTAACACACAGTTGTATGACACTTACTGTGGGCCAGACACTGTTCTAAGGGTTTTACAAATAGTTACTCATTTAATACTCCTAACAATGTCATAAGGTAAATAGTATTATTTTCCCCTTTTACAGATGAAGAAATTAGAGTGCATTCAGGGTCAGTGATTTGCCCAAAGTTACCCGGCTAGTAAGATTTTTTTTGTTTGGGGTTTGTTTTTTTTCTTTTAAGGGAGGAGGTAATTAGGTTTGTTTGTTTGTTTGTTTGTTTTTAATGGAGGAACTGGGGATTGAACCCAAGACCTTGTGCATGCTAAGCACACACTCTACCACTGAGCTATACCCTCCCCTCCATAAGTTTTTTTAAACAGGTCAAATTCACATAACATAAGTTGACAATTTTAAAGTGTACAATTCTCTGGCGTTTAGTACATTCCCAACGTTGTGCAGCCACCACCTCTACCTAGTTCCAAAACATTCTCATTAGCCCAAAATGAAACTCTGTACCTGTTAAGCAGTTGCTCCCCTTTCACCCTCCCCCTAGCCTCTGGAAACCTCCTATCTGCTTTCTGTTTCTATGGATTTACCTATTCAGAATACTTCATTTAAGTGAAATCATATAATATGTGGCTTTTTTGTTTCTGGCTTCTCTCACTTAGCATCATGTTTTTGAGGTTCCTCTGCATTGTAGCATGTATTTTCATTCCTTTTTATGGCCGAATAATATTCCATTGCATGGATGTACCATCATTTGTTTATCCATTCCCAACTAAGAAGTTTTGAAGTCAGGATATGAATCCAGGCAGTCTGATGCCAGAGTCGGTGTTCTTAACTCTCTGTATTCAAAATATTTATCTACTTAAACAGGATATATCAGGACATATTTTCAAGTAATAATTTGCCATTTAATAATGGATCAAATATGTATATAACTGGGCCAGAACTTCTGATCAGCCCAAGACAGCCACACTGAGGTCATTTAATTCCATCCAAAGCCAAAAACATGTGACCTTGTAGTTAACCTCTGCAGCCTCATACTGCTACACTTCAGTAGACTTCATGAAATACTAACATAATTCATAGATCCTCTCACAAGCTTTTATGGATTCGGGGACCCCTCTTTGGGATCCACTGATTGCAAGTCCCTGTAAGACACCCAGTCAACAAAGAGGTTCCACTGAGTTGCTCAGTAAACTGTACTGACAATCTAGAAAGTGGGCTCATGCATATGCAAAAGGTTTTCCATACCAAGGAGCTAAACAAGGAAGGAGTTGGAGGTTAGTCTTCAGTAAATTGG